TGCTTCGGGCTCCAAGCAACTTCTAAGCCCAACTCAAATTAGCACATAGAATAAGGACATTATCTCACATATCAGCAAGTCCAGAAGTTGTGAGAACCTCAAGTCTTGGCAACTCCTTGATTCTCTGGGCTCTACCTTTCTCCAAATGTTGGATTCAGCAACTTGGTACAATAGTTCCTGGCTTTATGCCCAGGCAAGAAAACCTCCAGAGGGAATAAGGGACCTCTCTTCTAGTGCCCTAGAAGGCATAAGGAAACCTGTCCTAGAAGCTTCCTAGCAGATGTGCCCTTAATCTCCATTACAATTTGGTTATATGCCCACTCTTCGATGAGTCACTCCCCGGGAGAGTGGGATTATCCTGTTGGGCTTACACAGTTCAGGGTCCACCCCTGGAACTGGGTGGGATCGCCTACTTGAGTAGAATGCGGGAGGAGTATGTACCAAATCCCAAACCAGGTTCTGTTGAATAGGAAAAAGGAGAGAGTGGACATTGAGCAGAAAACCAATAATGTCTTCATTAAATAGACTTCTATAAATATTGTGGATTGAAAAAGTGAAAGAACAAAAAAAATGTGTTCACTTTATTTTACTCCTTGTGCCTTATTTTTCCAAAATAGAGGGTAGTCTAAGATAGTCACTAATGTAAGAAAAATACTGGTTACAAATTCAGGTCACATTCTTTTTTATTATTTCAGAATATTATGAGGGTACAAATGTTTTGGCTACATGGATTGCTTTTGTACAGCTCGAGTCAAAGTATAAGTGTGCACATCACCCAGATAGTGTACATTGTACCCTGTTAGGTATGATTTCACCCATACCCTTCTCCCCACTCCATCTGCTTGATTTCCGTTGAGTTTTACTTCCTTATGTGCTCATGAGTGCTGATCAGTTAGTTCCAGTTTAATAGTGAGCTTGTGGTGTTTGTTTTTCCATTCTTAGGATACTTCACCTAGGAGAATGATCTCCAGTTCCATCCAAGTTATTACAAAAGGTATTAATTCATCATTTTTTATGGCTTAGTAGTACTCCATGGTATACATACACCACATTCTATCAATCCACTCATGAATTGATGGACATATGGGTTGATTCTACATCTTTGTGATTGTGAATTGTGTTGCAATAAACATTTGAGTGCAAGTGTCTTTTTGGTAAAAATGGCTTTTTTTATTTTGGGTAAATACCCAGTAGTGGGATTGCTGGATCAAATAATAGGTCTATTTTTAGTTCTTTGAGAAATCTCCATACTGTATTCCATACAGGTTGTACTAATTTGCAGTCCCTCCAACAGTGTATAAGTGTTCCTTTCTCTGCACATCCTCACCAGCATCTGTTATTTGGGGACTTTTTGATAAAAGCCATTCTCACTCCAGTTAGGTGGTATCTCACTGTGGTTTTGATTTGCATTTTCCTGATAATTAGAGATGTCAGAGCATTTTTTTAATATGTTAATTCGCCATTAGTCTATCTTCTTTTGAAAAGCTTCTGTTCGTGTCTTTTGCTCACTTCCAAACAGAACAGAGAACCCAGATATAAAACCATCCACATACCACCATCTGATCTTTGACAAGGCAGACAACAATATACACTGGGGAAAAGAATCCCTGTTCAATAAATGGTGCTGGGAAAATTGGATAGCCACATGCAGAAGACTGAAACAGTATCCATAGCTCTCACCCCTCATAAAAATTAATTCAAGATGGATAACAGACTTAAACCTAACACATGAAGCTATAAGAATTCTAAAAGAAAATGTTGGAAAAACTCTTCTAGATATTGACCTAGGCAAAGAATTTATGAAGAAGACCCCAATGGCAATCCCAGCAACAACAAAATTTAATAAATGGAACTTCATTAAATTAAAGGCTCTGCACAGCCAAGGAAACAACCAACAAAGCAAACAGACCACCTACAGAATGGGAAAAAATATTTGCATGCTATACATCTGATAAAGGGCTAATAACCATAATCTACAAAGAACTCAAGCAAATCAGCAAAAAAAAAAAAATCAAACAACCCCATTAAAATGTAGGAATTCAGATCATTCGTAACAAAATGTTACCGTTTTAAATATTTATATTCATATGTCAGTGTTAATGTTTTTCACCACAGTTCTCCATACCATTTCTACAGTAGCATAATATCTTCTTGGTGGTCAATCTAGTGTAATCTGGATTTTAAAGAACTCATAATTAAATTTTACATATGAACTTTGATGAAACACTATAGTAGCTAATATGTCCATCAGAGTTTGGGTCTGAATAAGACTTTCATTTTGATGGAATATGAATAATCAGGTAATTACTGATCAATAAGAAAACTCACTTTAGCTTATTCACTTATTCCATTAACCACTGAGGTCCTGTTTCAGGTATGATAAGTAAGTGATACCGATTTTGGAAATAATAGAGATAGTGTGATGGATATAAATAAGCAAACACAAAA